CAGCATCTTCGAGATTGAGAAACGGCCGGTGTGTCTGTGCTGTGTTGATTGCAGTAACTCAGGGCACCTGGGTCTGGCGTCCTGCAGCTATTTAAAAGCCTCTGCTCCTCTCTGTCTGCCCTCTGCTTTCTCCTACAGGCACCTGGTTTTCTGTTGAGTATATTATGAGTTTTCTCAGTTGCTTCACTTTGTGCACTTCAACACTATAACACTCATACATGGCCACGCAATCCTTACCCTGCATTTACACTACTGATACCACTAACATCCACACCTCATGCTTTACTTGTTTTGCACTTAATTAATTTGGCTAATTTGAACCACTTGCTTTAATAAACATCTTTTGTTAAACCGTTGATATGGTGCGTCTCCTCTCTTTTGTGGCCTTTTGAGCCAGGTCATAACACTCTCCATCAATGCTGACATCAGAATACAGAGTATGACTAACTCCTCCGACCAGTTTCTGACAGGAAATAATGAACACCCATTACTTCTTGAGTCTCAGTGCTGTCAGTGATTTTGAAGTGCTGAGAAGATATCAAGTCAGAACATGTGATACTATAATCCTGGTACTTTACAGATGTCTTAATCAGTTGTGAACGTACAGTAAACGTGTGTGTGTCTGTGTGATGAAATCTTTTCCCTGCCACAGGCCCGGACAGGTAATTCATTTTTCACACCCGACTGGTTTCTCTTCTGAGCATTTACAGGACATCACATGCCAACGTCTTGTTCCCACAGAAGTGAAGAGATTACGAAACTGAAAGATCTCGAGATAGCAGGCGAGTTAAACATGAGGTAGCTGTAAATTGCAGTGGCTGCTGGGTAAATACAGACAATAGTTTAGGCTTAGATTAGCCAAATACAAAGCCTGTTAACTATTATGCCAGGAAACGAAATGCTGCATCCGGATCACAGTCTCTAATTGAGAAAGAACAAAGTATTGCTGTGTCATTACATGGAAGCTGCAGTGGTGGTACTTCTAATCTTAACAATTCTGTTTCCCTATAAATGTTGGCAGTGACTGGGTTATATGTCCAAGTCATTTCATAGAGAAAAATCTTGGACCATCTCTGTCTTTATTTAACTGAATCTCAACCCTTGGTCCCAGCTTTAAGAGTCTTTAGACTTGACTGATTTCCTTTGGTTTGACTGATGAACTGTTGTCCGCATCAATTCATTTATTGAATGCTTATTTTCCTTGTGTTCTAAATTTCCTCTTTTCTGCCTCAAAGTTTTAATGGAACATAATATTGTTTTTCTAACATAATAGTTTTTGTAATGCCAATTCTATCTAATTGTGGAAAAAAATAGGTACATTGCTAAACTCTACTGTAAAGTTAGATGAACTCAAAGATAGAAGTGAACACATCTGAATGGACACTGTTTTCATTTTTCAGTCTTGTTGTTAACTATTTGGACTCATCTTACATGCTCATAAATTTGTCTTGGACATGACATTGACTAAAGCCCTACTAATTGTAAAAATGTTTGTGAATGATGTATCTTCCTGTTCTTTCCATTCCTTCAGAGAGATCTACTTTTGGTACTCAAGCATATGTTTTCATGTTGATTTCAGATGTTCATGTAGTAAAGGGTTTCAACATATAAGAGTAGGAAAAGTTGTTTTTTGTGACAAAAGAAAAGATTTAAACTTTTGGAAATTTCACATCCAACAACCTGAAGGCTCCAGAGCGGCTGCCAGGGATTGCTCATCTAATTGGCTGTAGAAGTGATGAAATGTAGCACGATGCCATGTGACTGCCAACCTGAGCTTAAAGTGGCTGTAATAAACTGTGACCCTGGATGACCTGGCAAAGAGAACCCAGAAAGAAAAATAACATATATGGACAGATATTTGTAAGGATCAAATGGACTACAAGAGGTAAATGTGAGATAAGGGCCAAAGGAGAATGACGCATGACACATCTGGTACAGCAGGGAGGGACCGTTATTAATTGTGACTGGAGATAAAGGGCAATTTCACTGTTTCTGAGCCAAGAAGATATCATGAGTAATATCCTGCTTCGTAAAAGTAACATGCAATGTTAGAGTGATGTCTAATAAATGGGCTGTAGGTGCTGTTTACCAAATAAAGTCAAGATGGAAAAGACACACTACTGAAAAAAACATTTCGAAATTGCTACAGGGTGTTTTTGGTGACAATTGGCACATACAAAAAGCACAATAAAACCAACCAAAATGAAATCTGGAACAAATTAAAGCATCCTGTTTGAAAGTACACCTCAATAAAGGGCATCAAGACAACAAGCTTGGTGAGTTTTGGATTGCTTTAAAACGTCTGTATACTTGCAGAGTGAAAGAGAATTCAGATCAGTGAAAAGGACGCCCCCTCATTGTCTTTAGAAAGGTCATATTATGGTCATTTTCAGTTTCATATTTGCACTTTGTGCCTCTACTTTGACTTGTTTCCATGCAAAAAGGTCTTTATTTTTTAATTTCGAACTCCTTTTATTCTCTGTGATTCAGAATTAGGATATGAAACAGGTCTCTCATCCATCAACACAGTGATTTGTAAGGATCCTCAAGAGGAGCTTGTTGAAATGTGAGCCACTTACTTCCACCACAGAAGCTGGTAGACCGCTTCTCACTTCAGATTATTCTGACATAATTCAGGCTGAACGACTCATGATTGACAGTTTTCTTCTTCACTTACAAATAAACAAAAACTACGCTGCTTTAATTTTTCAGGCCGTGAAGATATGTCGCTGGAAATTCCTCGAAACTATCCAGCAAAACCAGTTTCTTATTAGAAATTGTGCTCACATGTTGCTTTAAAGATGATGTTTGCAATTTCTAAGAGACAACAAGTAATTGAACTATTTCAAGATTCTCCATGGATAGCTTATCTGCTTTGTATCAGAAGCAAATTACTCCAAGAGGATGTTTCCCAAACATACAGTTCATAATGAAACTTGAAGTTGTATTCTGGCTGCGTGAGGCAATAAACAGGTTTGTTTTATCATCACATTGTCAGAAATAAATAGTACAACATGCTCCCTGTGCTACACATAAAACGTCCCGGTCACCCTCTCCCCTCCGGGGGTTGAAGTTCCCTCTGGAGACAACAACCATTTCCTCAGAACTCAGTCTGCATTCCTGAGTCGCTGGCCGATCCTTGTAAACAACATTCCTGCTTTGGGAAACAAAAGCCACGAAAAACATTATCTCACCGTCCGATCCGAACGCCTCCTCTCGGCCACCTCTCTGTCCTTTCTGCCTGACGATAATTAAGGTTTCAAACACTTTATTGTCAGGCCAGGTTCAGTGGAGTATAGACAACTTTCAAGACATTTGCTTCATCTTTGTTTTCGACACAGACAAATGAACCCTAACCCTAATGTTTCTGTATTCCCAAAAACATAAAAACAATACACTTACAGAGACAAGAAGCCTAATGGATAATTTCCTGTACTTTTCAATCTGTTTTATTCTTATACTGTTCGGTATCCAATCTGACAATCGATTCTGACATTTTACTCCTTACCTTGAAATCCCTGTAGATGTTGTCGAGCAATAAGTCAAATTGGAGTGTCTTTTTAGAAGATCATAACAGCATTATGCATCTCTTGGTATTCTTTGTATAGTCCTATTTATCTAGCATTGTCACGGTTTGTGAAACAAGCAGGACCCAAATGCAGATATAAACTGAAACTTCCTTTATTTCAAAGCTATGATATATATGTACAATGACAAAACAGAACACTCACCGCAGAACTAGTCAGGGAACAAGACGAACCGACCAAGACAGACAGACAACCCAGAACTTAAATACACACAAGACTCAATCACACAACAAGACACAGGTGAGGAGGGAGGAGAAAACACAGGGACCCAGGTGAACATAATCAGAC